AATTATAGGTAATTAAAATGAGCTTTGACGGGACTTTGAAGAAGAAACTTTGCTAATATGTCACACTTAAGAGAATCTGAAGATTATTAGTGGTGCAGCTGGCAGCCTAGACTGCGTTTGAACTGTTCCAGGCATCATGATGCCGTCTGGAGATCTGCTTTTCAGCAGGAACATGCTAAATTAGTAACTCACTGGCTTAAAGTGTACAAGTCATTACCCTTCAATTAAATCTCTGCATGGTTCCAATAAGGGATCATGTGACACTCCCTAATTCCACATAAATCTAACTTGAGTTAAATGGGTGTTTCATCTGGCCGGTTTTAAATCCCTAACTGCTCTCACAGGCCGCTTCACACTCTGAAGCGAGCTACTGGCCCATAAATCTGAAGTAGTTCCTCCCCTTCAATCTTGATGTTAGCTATCCATGATGCTCTAATCACTTTCCTCAGCTCATTTTACAACATTCCCTCCTTGAGGAGCCATTATTTACATAATCAGACATCTCTGCAGCTGTCATCTGTCCTTCTGTACGTTGAAGAGGTTGAATTGTTCTCCTCTGGTGGTGTTTGATGTGGTCTTCATGGGAATGAGTGTATGCTGCAGTCCAGCTGTTATGAAGAATATATGGACCCTCTGAGGGGATATATAACCTAATTTTAATGTTTCAAAGGCATGTACTGTAAAGACCAAATAGGAATTTAAAACCATAGCTTCAAAGGGAAAGATATAGCAACAAAAAAAAAATGTAACCAAAAATTGAAACCATTTTTAAAAGAATAACATTTTTATTACAGGTGAGTTGCTTTGCTAAATTCTAATAACAAACTAAAACATGTAAAACTATGTATAGTTTAGAATTTTGAGGGATTCCTGAGCATGTGAAAAACAATCATTATACATCTTAATGTTACATATGATTTGTTGTATTTGTAACCATTTAAGACATGTTATTATTTAAACTGCAACCTGACAAAACCTTCTTGGTCAATTTTTCATTCTCTTTTGGACAGTTTTGTTCCCAACATTTTTGTGTCTACAGTTCATAGTAACCAAGTGCATTTGTGCTGCCTGAAAGAGGACCTGGGCAAAGATGCACTTCTCTTCAGGAAAACCTATACTGCTGAGATTATTTCCACAATTCCACATGCTTATCCTGAAAGTGCACATCTTCTATGACAGGATATCAAACTTCAGTCTTTGGGGGCCGGTATCCTGCACCTTTTAAATAAATCACTGATTCAACAAACCTAAATAAAATGGCTTACCTCCATAAAAACCTAAAATGGATTACCTCATCAGCATGCTCATGATCTTGTTGGATCAACTACTATTATCTGGTAGGTAAAACACATGAACCATGTACAGACACCCAATGGTGCATTCACAACAAACATGATGACATTTAAGCTTTTACATCAGTCAGCCATGGTAGGTCGCTCGACTTTTTGCTCATACATGATGCAAAAAACCTGCTTGCTTCACCGCCTCACCTTATCATCTGATAGAAGGAGTTTCTAACTGCTAGTCAGTTTGTTGTCTGTACAACTCAACATGGTAGACCGAGAGGAAAATAAGTAATAAACACCCAGTCCATACCCAGTTCAGGGAGTCCAAGAGCTTTAAATGGATCACAGTCCCTTCACAGACCTTAAAATCCTTTTTTTTTTGGGATGGATTACCTGGTTACATGGAGGTAAGGCAAGGAGGTACTATAGAGCTAAAACAGGAGTAGCAGGAGTGCAGAGCAAGAAGCCAGGCAGAGAGCACCAGAGCTAGGTAGAAGCAGTAACCAGGGGCCTGCTCTGGAGCTACAGTACAAGAGGAGAAAAAATGATGAACAAAGTAATAGTCCTTTTTAAAATGGAAATTAAACAGTTAACCAAACTAATATAATTCCCAAGATTGTGTCTTACTATTATAAATAATTAATACATGGGACAGTATTTTGTGAATTAAGTTAGTTGACTGGTGACTGTCATTTCTTCCTTAAGAGCTAAATAAATAAAAAAATTAAATGTCACCTACAAACTTCTAAAGAGCATTTGCTACTTCATTCTTTAGAAACAATATTTTTCTATCTTCTCTTTTCATCGGAAAAAAACCCTTTGTCTACTCTGTGTCACCTTACGTCACAAACACAACCAATCCATTGGTGGTCACCTCTGGAATTCAAAGAAAGGTTTAGATTTTCGAGCTCTATTGAACACATCGCTTGGCTTCCTCAATGAGTTTTGTTTGCTCCCATTTCCCTTTCTTTGGCCTAATCACACCAACAGCTATGATATATGATCCCATTGCAAATGTTAAAATGGAGCCTAGGCAGAAGTTCAACTGAAGAAACGGATTACTCTCCTACATCCACCTACAACACAGCCAATCAGCTTTGAACCACACCTCCACAAAAGCCAATCTGCATCTTAAAAGGCCTCCAATCTGCAACTTGTCTGCTCCTAGTACGCAGGCGGTGGTTGTGCTGTGTGACTTTATTCAGACGACCCCGTTTCAACCCCCCTCCAGCCCCACCTCCTCCATCGTAGCTAAAACTTCATCAGAGTGTCATTCCTCCCGGACTCTTACTGCATTCCGGGTCTCATTTCAACCAGTCTGGTAGAAGGCCGCCATGTTAAGCCATGTTTCCTCCCAATGGGGAATTTTTCCTCTCTACTGTCACTTAATTCTTGCTCATCATGGACAGGTTCTCTTATTCTGTGTTATTCAAACTAGACATCCATCTTTCACGTTCCTGAGTGAAGCTCTAGTATCAGCTCACACAGTCCACTGGATCTCCCCATAAAGCTCAGCACACCGTCTCGCTAACCAGCAGTTTACAGACTGAACTTCATCTATCTCCACTCCACCACCAGTTTTAGTCCTGGGGCAGAAACAGCCCTATTCTTTACTCCTGTTCATGCATATCCATCAAAATTCAGTGCTATGTTTCCTGCCGAGATCTGAGCGCCAAAGACCAAGTAATTGTACCAATAAATTTCTTCTAATTGTCTTTTCATTTCATGTGAGTTTTTCAGATTGAAATACCAATAGTCCTTGATCTAGCTGCTACTGGTTCAAATCATGTCTTGGTGACCTTTGCTGCATCCCCACCACTCCACCCCATTTTCTGTCAGTCTGCTTTTAAATAAAGATGACTAGTGTCAAAAATAAAATAAAAAAAACTACAATGATGCGAAAAAATAAGGTTACCTATAAAGTGGCAGTTATGGAAAAGGATCACCCTTGTGTCATCTCAACCCAATGGGTCGATCAGGATTGCATTGAGATTCCTGCCAGTTTGACAGAAGTAGTTTATATCTTTTTTCCAGTGTTTTTATTGTCGTTACACTGTCACAAGTACACAGCAACGAAATTAAATCTGCATTTAACCCATCTCCTCGGGGAGCAGTGGGCTGCCATTGTGCGACATCCGGGGAGCAGTGCGCGTCAAGGATCTTTTTGCTCAGGGACTCGCAACCTCAGGATTTCAAGTCCAATGTCCCAACCACTAGGCCACCACTCCTCAAAGCAAGCTTTAACATGAAGGGTCTTGCCTAAGTACCCAAACTGGCAGCCTAGCTGGGATACAAACCAAGTCTTCCTGTTTGCAGGATGGGTGATTTACCACCGCTAGCCAGGTGCCTGGAAAACACGTTGTCAGATTGTGTCTGCCTGGTATAAAAGCTATAATTTGCAACTATTGGCTAGACCTCTTAATATACATAACCAGGAGATATTGTACAATAATTTTGATTGAGTTTGACTGTGTGCTATTTGGATCTGAATCTAAATAATCAGATTAGAAATGATGGAAACATGAGTGTTAGGTTAACTGGCATTTCCTAATCGCCCTTAGGTATCAGTGCGTGTCTGCCTGGTTGTATGTCTTTGTGTGTCTCTGTGTTGCCCTGCAACAGACTGGCAACCTGTCTTGCCCAGAGACTGCTGGAGATAGGCACCGGCCCCACCATGACCCTGACAGAATAAGCGGAGAAAATGGATGGATAAGGGACATTAATTAGAACTGAATCTGGATGTAATTGGATCCTGTCTGCTGAAAAAAGGACAGAAAAGTTTGATCTTTAGAAAACTTTGTAACGTAGCCCTTTTTATCACTGCAGAGCATTGTTGCCTTTTTATACATTAAAGGGTTTTTAAAAATCAGCACTTGAAACTGTAGATAAGGATTTTATAGAACGGTTCATTCTTTTCACTAATGAAAATGGCAGAGAATAATTATTATTAACTGAGTATTGCAGATTGATAAAGCTTTATTTACTTTTATAACTCAGTCTAAAGTTATTTTGTACTAATTAAACAATACAGCTCTTAGAATGTAAAACATAAACTATAAAAGTTTTATGGAGGGGAGAGAAAGAAACTGTAATGTGTTTATAGCCCAGACAGCATTAAAGGTCATCAGCTAAGTCGTTGCCGCTCTCTCACCCCTGTTGAGAAGCAAGAGCATGTCCTCACTGCCAGACTGCTCTTTGAATTATTTACCTCACACGCTGCTGGGTTATGGCTGAAATTTTTACAGTGCGACAGAGCAGAGTGCACCGTGCTTACTTGGGCACAAAGCAGTACCCATAAAAAGAGAGAAGCACAAAGAGGTGGGAGCGGAGGGAGGTGTTGTCTGTCACCAGAAAGTTGCACTCAGCAAGTTGCTTTACAAGAGCACTTGCTATGCACTCTGATACTCACAATGTAATGTGTTTGAATGACCTACAGTCTGTGCAAAACTAGACTGACCTCCTCTTTTCCATGAAGAAAAAAATAGGGAAGTATCAGCTCCAGTTTTAATGTCAAACCAATTCTTTAAACCAATTTTACTTACAGTGTTCTGACTGAAGCTAGAAGGGAATCGACTACAGCTCCTGAAATCCGCAATTTTCTTTGCATAACAAAACGTCACTTAACAGTAGAGAAGGGCAAAAAAAAAAAAAATGGAGGAGTTGTTCCATTTCATCTACAATATCAACTCTGAAAGAAGGAGACAAGCCTTGTACCTCCGAAAGCCACCTGTCAGAGCTAGTATGGCATTCGGTGTGATCACATGGACAGCCTCGTCAATAATGTTCCCCACGGCCTGCGCCTCCGCTTTACTGACAGCCCTGGAGATGTCTCCATAATGCAGAAAACCTGCAGGGAAAAGACCACATGGTTATTAGTCTGGCAGCTAGCCATCAATCACAGCCATTTGCTCTGGGGAAACAGGGAGTCAGTGTGGATTAAAAGTATGGTAGAAATGTGATATGCTCCACTTGCTGATAGAAGCCGACTAACAGCGTGCACAAGACTGACACAAGAGGATTACAGTATCTGCAAACTGTTCCTAATTATAATTGATGCATTGATGATTATCTCATTTTATGCATCTCACTTTGCATTTTCTCCTGTCTTTGTGCCACTTAAAAAGCACTTAATTCTCTTTTCTTTTCCACAGATGAACAGCTATGCACCTCCAATTAATTACAAAACCTTTAATGATTTTTCTGTCGGTGCTGCAGAAAATTAATGGGATGGCTCTTGTTTCTGCTCAGTAAAGATTTCCAGAATACAGCGAGGCGATTAGAGTTCAAAGACATTTTCCACATCAGAAACCTATTTTATTTCTCAGCTCAAAGTGGTATGATGGATTGTGACCGTTTTGACGGACGTGTCTGTCAGCATTCTAAACTATTGAAAGGAGTTTGAAATGAATGGCAACCTGTGAACACTGCAATTTGAGGTTTTCAATCATCGAGTCATGAAGGTTTACCGTACTGTACGGAGCAGCGATTTCTGGAAAGTTAGTTTTTCATGTCTATTTGATTTATTACCCTTTAGTGTCTTAAAAGCATCTATTCACTTTTAGTCCATAATCATAAACCTCTTTGCCGTTAACAGGATTGTACGGAATCAAAGTATAACATCTTTGATTCCGTGTTAGGATACACATTTTTGGCTGTTTTGATAAGAAAAATTGATCAATAAATAGTACTATGCTCCTTTATTGAGCTTCATTAGAGTAAATTCTGACATTACAGCAGCTAGAACACAAAGTACAAATAAAGTCATTAAAATAGCATAAATAAGGTGTTTTATTAATTTTTATTTACCTCTGTGAGCTTAAATACTGTAGAAAAGTCTACAAACATGTTATATAATTTTGGGCTGCATGTCTCTACCGACTTTGTACATCAAGGGGGGAAAAAAACGTCTGCATATTTCTTTACCAAAACAAACTCAGGCTGAGTTACACTAAATAAAATGCATCAGGGAGAAGCTTTCTTTTTTTTTTTTTTATCTTCAAAAAAATTCTCAATCAGACTTCTAACACAGAAATAAGTTTTCACTGAAATACTTTGGTTGTCCATAAGGAAAACTTTTAGAGGTTTCCTTTAGAAGACATTCTTACACGTTTCTCTATTCATCCATCTTTTAACTATAAGCATATTTCCTTTCACTACTTAACAATAACATCCCCACTTCATTATGCTGCCATCACTATGTTTCACAATAGGAAAAGACTGCCTTGGCTATGGTGTACATTTTGGGAAATCCGTAGGTCTCAGGAACAAAGTTATTTGTTTCAAGGTATCATTTTATGAATAAAAATTGAAATAAAATTGATCAGATCTTATTAAAAAGTTAAAAAGTCAGGCCTCTATTAAAACATTGTTAGATTTTGAGGTCTAAGGAATAAAAGTCGTCAGGTCTCGGGAATAAATCAATCAGTTCTCAGTTCAGAAAAATAGAATTCTCTTTTATTGAATCATTTAAAATTAAGCCACACTTTTCAGGTTTTTATTGATAAAAAATAAAAATATTCCCTTTACATCACAATTACCAATACATTACTTTGCATTGGTCACAGAAGATTCTGATAAGCAGCATTTCAAAGTGTTAAAATGTTTCATACAAACCATTTTAAACTCTTATTTGATCAAAAAAGAATAAAAATAATAACAATAATATTGGATATACAGACTTACTGTAAATGTAATGATTAAGTTTCTTTTGACTGAGTGTTTTTTGGAAGCAATTTTGTGTTGAATTCCCTGCTCTATAATTTTTTTAAGTGTTTTGCTGAAGACGGGGAAATTGAGATGTACCACTCTGCTGCATCCGGTTTAGATGAATGCTGGGCTCTGCCAGAACATCGCTGAATGAGCGAAGCCCTCTGCGGTACCACTTCTCAGCTGTTTTTGGTCCAACCCCAAACACGCTTGTGAACAGCTGGAAAGGAACGACGTAAGGACATAATCAAGAAGACATTCTCAGAAGGGGTTCTCTTTCAAACATTGGAGAGTTATTTTTGAGCTCATTACTGAAAAAAAGAAAAATCAGCAGCTGAATGAAGTTAGTTTTCATTTACCAACCTTGAGGGTTTGACACCTTTCATCAGAGAGTATTTTCTCAACCTCAAATGAACGTCCATATTGAAGAATCTCCTTTAAAACGTAAAATCAAACGTTAGAGATAAGCAATGTTTCCCTGGCTTTTATTTCCCATCTGCTATCAGCAAATGGCTTGAAATTGCTGCTCATTTGAAAACCATTTCCACTTAAATCAGGTGTCCTCATTTCCATTTTGTTTCCAGAAATAACATCTTTGTTGCTTTGAAACCCCAGATTACCATCGGTTTAATGACGATCGTTAAATGCCCAGGGTGATGTTTTCATCAGGTTCTATTATGCGCTTCCAAACAACTTTGCTCCAAATTAAATCGTCTGCGCTTCCACTTTATATGTCTTCATTGTGTGAGAGTGGAAAACCAAGTTGCGGTAACCTGGTTAATACCTGTCAGCTTAAAAAAAAGGGGGAAAACAGCATTCAGACTGATATGTTTTTCAATGCTGCAGGGCTTAGTCCGCATTTTAAGCATGAGCATAAAGGAAAGGCAACCAGCATGGATGAACTATTGATCCAAAGGTTGAGACTGTGAGTACAGAGCAGGGTGCAGCAGCCTTCATTGCTCAGCGAAGCATCCAACCGTCCACCTCTGCTTTTCAAGCCTCCAGCTAAGGCCAACCTCAAACAAGAGGATAATGCTTTACCACACTTCCTGGTCCCATAAGATACAATCCTTTACAAGCACAGTTTTTATGTTACGCACAACCCGTTGAAGCTAACTCGGCCTCACTGCCACCAAACTTTTATGTTAATGTCCTTTTTAGATGTTCAATATGTGAAGAGAAGCTGATAGTGTCAGTCCAATATTCAGAAGCACATCAAGTATTTTGTTTTCTTAGCTCAGTTTGGTTTCACTTCGTTTTTCATGTCATGTCATTTGTTTTGTTTTTGCGCAGCAATCTGTTCAGAGAGACAACACTGGGACAGAAGAGCTTTCTGTGTGTGGTTGGTGTCTGCATCGTAGACAAACAACAAAGAGGAGAGGTCATCCACAGACTGTCTAATTTGGTCTCTGCGGCACATTTATGTTACTTTGTTTTATAATTCTGCCTCGGCGCTGACAGCTCTGACAGATCTGGAGGCTTGCTCTCAGACCTGCTGTGATGATGTTAGGTTTAACATGTCAGAAAGTTGGATTGTGTGCTCGCCCTTCTTTAACTTTTTCATCTGCAGGGACGCTGCACTGCCTCCATGTAAACTTTCTCTGACAACCTGCCATGATGTCTGACCTGAGCTGGAATAAGGGAGAGAATGAGGTAACTTGGCTGATTCTTTCTGCACAACATCCAAACACATTTGTCTGTTTACCTCCAAGCGTGTCATCCAGGTATAATATAGCTGTGGCAGGTTTGAAATTTGTAATGAAAGAAAACATCAACAGACACTGTCAGCTACATTTGTTGGAATTTTTGAAAGCTGTTTTTAAAAATGCTTGTTTTTTTTAATCTTTTTTTAAAGCAGCAGGAAAATGTGACAAAATACGAAGAAATATTTTAACCTTATCCTGAAAATATCTTCTCTTTGGGACAAGAAATGTATTTATGTTCTATTTTATTTAATTCTATTCTGTTCTAGAAATTATTTGTTAGGTGCAGAAAATATCATAAACTAAGAAATATTAGTTGTACAACTATTGGAACAAAAACAACCGTTAAATAAAAAAATTATACAAGTATTTTTATTATTAATGCTTTTCATAGAGAGAAGGATCATGTCAATCATTTTGTTGATCTGTCCATAGCATTAGGCTTAGCATTGTTTCTATTTCAAATGTGTGGAAGATTGTCAAAATTCTGCTAATGTAGAGAAAAATCATATTTGGCCATTCCGATGTTCAGTACATTTATTGCTATCAGCTTTCCACTACCACCTTTAGGCTTCTTTGTCTATTTTTACTACAAATAATAATTTTAATCATGTGAAAAAATACACCATTGTTGATACAGCCCAAAAAACACATCCTAGAGAAAAGAAAGTGTACTAACAGAATGTTTAATTGTTGCAAATTTACTTTTATAAATACAATTTCTGTAATTGTAATGGCTAATGGAAACAAAGCTTATGTTGGGCATAAGAAATATAACCCTGATTATTAAAAGTCGACTAAGAATTGTCATGGGAAAAAAAGTATTTAACCATTCACTCCGGTTAAATGAACGGGGATCGATGGATTTCACCTAGTTGGCATTTTATTGTGTCTTTGCAAAGAGAGAACAGTTCATAATACAGCCCTTATTGCCTGGTAATCAGCCCTGTTCTGATCTGGGCAGCGAAAATAGATTGTACAAAAAGGAACGGTTATGAGATACAGGGCCGAACTGAGGACTTTCTCATATCAGCAATGAGTAGGAAGTATTAAAGGTAGTGGAGGATTTTCTTTTTCTGAGTGGATCATCAAAATAAATGATCCTCCTAATTGTCAATTGTTCAAGTTACACGTTTTTGGGCATGCACACTTTTAGGGGTATATGTGTGGTGAGCTATAGTTTCAGCCAGTCAGTAAAGCTCATCTTTCTAACCGAAAATGACCAAGTGTCTTAAGAGAAAAAGTGTCTACGAAGTGTAGGAGAAGAGAGAAACAAGACCAGAGTGTTTTTGGGAGATTCTTTCAGGCAGTATCTTACATATGCACAGGTCAGGCTTCCCACTGATGCCTCAGTTGTGAAGTTTCTACTCGACAGGTTAAGTTTGGCATGCTATTTGGAGAAATCCATTTCACAAAACTGCAGTTAAACGAGGAGAATTGGGCTTGTGTTCTCTCTTGAGCGCAGATCGAGGGTTTTGCATGTGCAAATGGAGATGGTGGATCTTTGGGAAAATACTCCCCTATAACATTAAGAGCATGAAGGATCAGTGCTAATAAAAAAATAGTATTACTATACTCATTACTCCTTATGTGCACCGAACCTGCTATTCAAGCTACAGGTGCCCCCTTATCTTTGTTTATGTAAACTTTTATTAATATTTAAATTAATATGTTTTTTGTAAGTTTATCTGTCATACAGATGTATGCCATGTTTTTTTTTTTACTTTACTGTGTATCCATGAAATGAGATAAGCTCTGTATGTATTCTGCATCGGATAATGCCTTATCATGAAAACTTGAAAAATACAAAAACAGTACAAAGGCTAGAGTTTGTAGATTTATTTCTTTTGTTGTTAAGCCCTGAAATTTCTCCTGTCCCACAGTTTCTTTTAAGCATGAACAGCATCTTTTGACTATTCTGCTCATTATATTTGATATAATTATTGCATGTATTTATTTTTTCTTTATGTGGCTTATGTGCCTTTTCATCCTTGACTCTGCAATTGCGCAGCAATTTTTCCCCTAAATGACTGTAATTATAGAGCTCTTATTTGTTTTATAGAGTAAGAAACTCAGACATGAGTAATAATCAAAAGGTCAGCTGCACCTTCATTTAATGTTAACTATTGCTCATTTTATTTCTGCCTTCTTTCACACAGCAACTCTTTGACACCCTGAACATTGTAAAAGTTTAGGTATATTATACTTCATAGTGAAGTAAATATGTTTCAGCTTAATTTAGTTGATTTATTATGGGCTGTGATATGTCAAAAATAATAAATGAACTGGTTTGAATTGTTAGATATCTTCAAAAAGATATTTTGCTAACATACAAATAATTAATGTTTTTATTTTTTCATAAACTGTGAAAAAAAAAATGCAAAAGTTAAGATACAAACTGGTAATGATAGTGATTCAAAAATCCTGTTTCTAGGAGCACATTGTCTTACATTTTTAGGTATTTCTCTAATGGCACACATTACTTAAATGGACGGGTGAATAAAAACCTTATGTGGAACTAGATGTTATGCTGAGGAAGCAATGTAGTAATTTAAATCAGGCTCAAATTTCAAACAGAAACATTCTAAATCCTTCAGGGTTTGCTTTGCTGCTGCTTGGTTAGTCAAAGATAACCATGCAAAAAAAGATTTAAGAAGGAAAGCTTCAGTTCCTACCACAGTCTTTCTTTAATATCTAATTCTGTAGATTAGTTAAGCCACTCAATAAACCGAGGTACCTCTATCTTAGCTACACATTTGCTTCCTTTGGATATATTCGGGGTTTGTGTTCTAAGTTAATGCCTGAAATGAAAGGTAGACTTGAATATAGATAGGACTTTCAGGTATTTATATCTTTGTTTTGCATTTTCTCATTTAAGGATCCATGAAAATGTATTTGTACAACAACGAAATATTAACTGTCTGTAGAAAATCACAATTACTAATATTTATGTGGTTTTGTACTTTAATTATTATTACTTTAATTATTATTATTATCGTTAATTATTTTACAAACTGAAGGTCATTTTTACTGCATAAAACATCTATTTCTTTTGTTTGCACCCCTCATTGTCACCGGCTGAATTATGCTATAGCAAAACCGGTAATCAATCTTCTTTTTCTATTCGGATTGGATTCCTCAGTAAATGAGACTAAACAGAGGAGTCGACCTTCCTCTGAAAAGTTGAAAAATCACTGTTGTCCTTTTTACAAAGTGATCATCGAAATCGAACCTTTTTATATTTTATCACAAACCAACATTGTATTGTGTTTCATTAGGTCTTTGGATTATTGTGAAGTAAACTGAAAAGATTGATGGTTTTAAGTTGTTTTTAAAAAATTAAATCTGCCTGGGCATGTATTTGTATTCAGCATCTTTTACTCTTAATGAAATCAATTTGTCATCAGAATGTACCTAATAAGAAAACAGAGTGTGTGATTTTTTTTTTTTTCTTGTCGTATATAGAGCTGTTTTCTGAAGGTCCCAAATGGTTTTATAGTGAAATTAAGTGAACAAACTACATTATCAAGATACAGCAGACAGATCAGGGAGAGTTAAAAAAGAAAGACGAAGGCTCCCCTGTAAATATACTATAACATGAGTTTGGTCCTAAACTGAGCAGTGGAAAAGATGAGCATTGATCAGACAAACAGCCAAAGGCCTATGGCAGCTCTACCGGAGCTGTAGAGATCCAGAGTTCATGTGAAGTAAGCTTTTGACAGGAATATCATTAACAATGCAGTTCATAAATCTGAGTTTTATGGAAGAGTTAGATAATATAAAAAGAAAGCCATTGTTAGAAATAAGCCATATAGAGTTTCATTTGTAGTTTACAATACTGTTAGGATAATTATCATTGATGATGTGTGAGTTTATTATTCCTCAATATTAGCTGCCTGTTGCTTTTCAGAAATGATGTTTTCCCCAGTAGTCTATCTAATTAGGCCAGATCCTCAGTCTGGCTGTATACAGTTATAATTTTCATTTTGTACGTGGCAAAGATTTGAGAATGGAATGAGAGCGGTGTCCTTCAGCTAAGAACAAAGAGTGATATTTTGATAAGTGTGGAGCCATGGATGTCTCCTGATCTGCAAAATGTGAGAATATGGCAAACTGCAGTGGTATGAAATGCTTCTTTAACTGTTAATTGCAGCCACTCCCGAGAAGTGAGCCTGGTTGGTAAGCAGCTGCCTTCTGTAACTCTAAGCAACTTCTCTGTTCTGAGTAAGATTACAATTTTGATCAAAATCTGTTGTCATGTCTGCTGGTTATTTAATAGATAAACGTTACGAAGTGTTATTGGAAGAGTTTGTCCCGAGTGATCTCTATTCAGGAAAAAGAATTGGAGAGAGAAAGCTTCAAGGTGCAGACGAAGAGCTTTCCTTTAACAGTACGAATAACCAGATATAGTACACACTGGGCATAGGGATTAAAGGAATAGTACACCCAAAACATGATTAGCCTTCATTTTCTACTCACCCCCATGCTGAACAACACTCTGGAGTACTTTTTTGATATCTCAAATGCATCTGGAGATCTGGGAGGCTTCTTGCTGTCTGCTGACATTCAAATAATGGAGGTCTATGGCGCCCGAGGCAGAAAGGTCCATAAAAGTCCACAAAAAACGTGTCAATGTTCCTCCATACTGCTCGTCCAATGTATTCCAAGTGTCCTGAGTGGGTAGCATCCAGAATTTACTCGAAACTCATGCTCTTCCTCAACACTGAAGTCCTCAGACATTTTTCTTTCGTTGTTTCTTTCTTTGCACAGGTAAACAGCACATTTCTTCTTCTACGCTTGCATTATTGGCAGAGCAGACGCTGAATGCGCACTTTCATCTGGTTTGGTCTGCCGGCTTCCGTAGCGTCGTGAGCGCACATGTGCGAGCTTTCAGGAAATCCTATACACTGTTTATGCTCTAAAAACATTCTACTGTAAATGACTTCGTTTCGAGTAAATTCTGGATGCTACCCACTCAGGACACTTGGAATACATTGGACGAGCAGTATGGAGGAATATTGACACGTTTTTTGTGGACTTTTATGGACCTTTCTGTCTCTGTCACCATAGACCTCCATTATTTGAATGTCAGCAGACAGCAAGAAGCCTCTCAGATCTCCAGATGCATTTGAGATATCAAAAAAGTACTCCAGAGTGTTGTTCAGCATGGGGGTGAGTAGAAAATGAAGGCTAATCATGTTTTGGGTGTACTATTCCTTTAAGGGGAATTTTTTAGCCCACATTCAAAACCATGTGATATAAAAGGAACATGGTAAACACACCAAGGCCATCATCCCACTACTGCCTTTCTTTAACAGTAAGGGGGAATCTGATCAAAGTCAGTGAAAATTTGTTAAAGTACATTCACACTTTTGGTCTGGTCCATGCATTGGTATAGAGAACAGACCGAGTGATGCAAACGCACAAACTCACACAGAGGTTTTCAGATTGTGCCAAACATCGTGCAGGTGCAACAGATTATTTTGGGGACTGAATTGGCTGAGTTCTGCATTAACTGATAATATTAAAAAAAAAACACATCCTTAACTCTACAAGACATTTTCAGACTGGTTTCAGATTCTACTTTCAGTCTCTAAAATCTAGCAATGAAATTGTTTTACCAGTTCAGTATCACCAGTTTCTCTTGCTTCACATCTTTTCTTCCAGTCCTGTTTCTGACAGGCCCATAACCTTCAACTGTAGCCAGATTTATGCTTCCAAAATATAATTGTGAGACTACAGAAGTATCAACTTGTGGGATGGACCTCTTAAGACCAAGGGTCTGTTTTCCACCTAATACCCACTCATAATTTAAAGGACATTTCTTAACTTGTAAAATGCCTAAAATGCTAACTCCTGGTATCAACCAACAGAAAGGTCCTGGAGGAGGATGTAGATGTGAACATTTTAGAATGATAATTGCTCTGGGTCTTAGAAAAATTAGGTTTAAGTAAAAATTAATGAATTTCTTTATTTAAAAAAAAATGAAGCCATGCATATATTTCATTTCATGATCCAAGCAATAGTGTACAGTTAGATAAGAAAATGTAAATTGGATATAGAAACTTTTGGAAAGCAGTGAATATATTGAAGTTAAATTAGAACAGAGACAGAAAGTTGTTTCCTGGTGTCTCTCTGTGCCTTACCTTCATGACAGCCTTAGTATGTTCACCCAGGCATGGCAGGTCCTGTGTGGCCCCAACACACTGCACAGCCAAGGGAAGACTCTTCAGGACAGAAGCAGCCCTCCTGAAGGCCAAGCACCGTCCCTCAATGTCATTGAATTCATAGTTTTCAGCCAGAACTTCAAATGCGTCCTAAAGGAATATAGGTAAGGACAAATTAAGGAAGGTTGAAGGATAAAGCAGGAGAGGGTAGAAGGTTTTTGTCCTGTAAAATATAACATATTAAGAGTCATGATGATTCAAAAAAGAGGGATTTATAAGAAAAAGAGATAGAATCAGGTCAAGCAAAAATATTCCAGGTGAGTATTCACTGCACTCAGCCATAAAGGAAGACTAGACACAGATAACTGCACGCTCCATTTCACTCCTCTGTCTTCAGTCTGTGTCTTTTCTCTGTCACTGTTGCTGTCTAGGACTCTCTGAATGTTGCTTTTCTTTTGGATGACCACACAGAGAGATCCATGAGGCAGCATCCTGTCATTTTGCGAGTATTCATACAAAAAGGCCAAAGTCTGGGCCCAAAAAAAAAAAAGATTTTTATACCGTTGTGGTAAAAAGAAGGTGTACCCTGTGTAATTCTATGGTTTTAAAAGGTCCTTCAGTTGTTTTGAACATATCCTGGGGTGTACATAACCATACTGTACAACACCAAATCCCTGTATGTCATTTTTTATTTAACTTTTCCAAAAATGGAAAAGCTAGAAAAGGAGAAAAAAAAAATGTCTTGCGTCAAATTGCTATGGTTTGATGCTTCCTCTTTGAGCTCAATGCATTATTTCTAATGGAAGCTACTTGCAGATTTTACTATTGATACTTTCTGGGTCATTTTAATTAGCAATTTATAAAAGACCTTGTTGTTTATGACACATTTTCCTTATAAATAGCCTGAAGAACCAGGGGTTAAAGTTTCTTGGTTCTTCAATTTTTAAGATGATTTTGTTTCTTTCGAAAACTAATAACAATTTTTGTATTCGCTTTGGCCGTTTAAAAGCTTTTTCCATTTGTTTACTCATTTTCTCTTGCAATTTACGGTCAAGAAGGTGTTAAAAGCATTTTCATCAGGTGGAGGTAAAAGGACTGTATTGTTCCTCAGTGAACCAACGTCTTTTCATCTTTTTTGATGAGATAAAATGTTGCATTTCATTTAAAAATTAGGCTCCCATGGCTGGTAGAAGAGTAGAAATACACAGAGGCAATGGTACTTGAGGTCAATTTTGAAATTTCCACAGCCAGAGATGATTGCTGGTAGTGGTCCAAATTCTGGACAGCCCTTTATAAAGAATTTAAAAGCACTACATGTCGCCTTCTGCTGACAAACATTTGAGAGGGGTTGATTTTATTTTGCAGCAGGAGATGAAACTTCCCCACACCGTGTCAGTGAAAGCACCAGTAGGTGCTTTAATGACTCTGGTATCACTGCTCCTTGGTGGCCAGTAAAATGGTCTTATGGTCCAGAGAAAGATAAGAGACAATGGACCCATCTTTGCAGGTGATAATGCTCATTATTAAAAGAATCTCTGCAGAACCGCAGGCTAACTACCTTCAAATAAATATGTTTTGATGCAGGAATCCATGCCAAATAAGCCCAAAGACAGACCTATTCTGTTCAGGGCATGGACATATTTTTCAAGAGGCTCAACTTTTCTCATCAGAAAGAAGCTGATTTGTTGTATCTTGTAAAATAAGCGCAAACCCAAAGGGACACTGTCAGGTATAAAAAGCATTTCTAAGATAGAGCACATATAGAGGAGGTTCAAGTTACATGCTATTCCTAAAAGTCAGCACTCACTTCAGAGGAAAAGATAGCTGCACAATATTGATTTAAAGCATATAGTTGGAAATAGATATCAAGTAAAGTTAATAAGATCAAGCTACCTTCATGTTCCTCCCCAAATAAGAAATAAAGGCTTTTGATAAAAAGTTATAATTCTGTCTTTCTCCAATCTGCAGCTCTATTATTATGTGATTTTTAACAGAAACATTCTTTGTCTTCTCCCCAGTGTTATGGGATCTTTTAAAATAAGCCATCTTAGTGTTTTTCGGCTCTGTTTCCTAGAACAATTTTGTTTTAGATTTATCGTTAGCCTCAGAGAACATAATGTCCTCCCTGTCATCCACTTTTATTAGAAAACCTTTTATGATACAACAAAATCTGCCGTGGAAATCTGATTTTTCCATTTAAAGTTTCTGACAATTTTATTCTGACATTTTACAAAGAAATATGTTTTATACTTAAAAAGGTTTGACAGTATATCTGTGCAGTCCTGTTAGACAGAGAACAAAGACTTCAGAAGCTAAAACAGTTGGACTAAATGATTTTTCAGTACTTCACACAACTAATTATTACTGACATAAAGCAGTGCTCTACTGCCTCTAAAGAACCAAGGGTTGTCTATGCAGTCTAATTTTTTGTCTGCCACATTGTCTTTGTGAAATCTCCTTACATTTAAAATTTTAGAAAATAGTGTTTCATTATCTTACAACCGTTTACATTCTTTACCTATATCATAACAAAACACACAAAGAGCATCTTTGTTAGTGGTAAGAATATTTAAAATGAAATTATAAACAAAAAGCTAAATAATAATAAAGGTGTATATGGTGAGAACATAATTTCTAATTTGCATTAATTCAGGAAGATTTGCTTTATTAAAGAATGCCTCTCAGCTGAAAACTACAATCAACAACTGCAGAAAGCATCAATATACTGGCAATGGGATTCCCTCTGTCTGATACTTAGTCCAAATATTCTTTAAAGCTTTAAAAGACAAATATTCCATTACAGTAAAAGGCTTTGGTTAATGGAGAAATTTTTCTAAAAGATGGATGTTAAAGGAAAAGTTTGGTCAGCAAGGAATAACAAATCATTATCTATACCTAAAACTAATACGTTCGTGGTGATTTAACGAATTAAGCGTTAATAAGTTTAAAAAAATAATTATTTTATTCACGATCACTGAGTCCAGGAGTGGCAATTTGTGCCAAAATACAGTAACAACTCCCTCCTGCCATCTTCCGGCAGTGACGCCACGGTACGGTAAGCCTAGCTCCATTCTTTCCGCTTTACAAACAAAATCAATGGGAACTACTAGACACATCTGCAATCAACAACAATTGTATAAGATTTCCAGAGGACTTCACCATTGAAATTCACCAGAGCTATAGTGAAACTGACAACGATTTGGCATTGAACTGCTGGCCAGAGAAAAAACAAGTAATATGTAGCCAACATTTGGAAGAAGAATGTTTTCAAGATGACTTGCATAATAGCGCGTTGTGATAAACACCAGATACAGCACTGGGACTTGATCTACAGCCGATTCCGCACCGTGACGTCACAAACCAGTAATTCAATTCAATTCAGTTTATTTATATAGCGCCAAATTCACAACACATGTCATCTCAAGGCACTTTACAGTTCAACCAGATCATACAGTCAAATTGATACAAAGTTTTCTATCTAAGTGAAACCAGTTGGTTGCATTGACTCATATACAATCCCTCACACTAAGCATGCTTGTAGCGACAGTGGAGAGGAAAAACTCCCTTTTAACAGGAAGAAACCTCCAGCAGAACCAGGCTCAGTGTGAGCGGCCAGTAGGTGGCAGTAGTGTTCTTTGACAAACATGGATGTCTCCAGTAAAGAACATTCAAATGAAAATTACTCTTAATTGAAAACACTTATCATTTATAAAACAGTATGTGATAATTTCATATTTTTTAAAGTACTTTCAGAAGTTTGAATTCTGAATATGAGCAGACTTTTCCTTTAAAGAAAAACAGCAAAGATTGAGCCTTTTGTGTCTTTAAGTCTTTAAAACAGTTGGACAATGTCTACAGTTATTTTGGGGCGACAGTGGCGTTGGATGTAGGAGTTTGCCCTGAAATCGAAGGGTTGACGGTTCAAGCCCCGACTCCGACTCTCAGTGTCGTTGTGTCCTTGGGCAAGACACTTCACCTGCATTGTCTACTGATGGTGGTCAGAGGGCCTGGTGGTGCCAGTGTACGGCAGCCTTGCTTCTGTCAGTGAGCCCCAGGGCAGCTGTGGCTACAATGTAGCTTGCCACTATCAGTGTGTGAGTGTGTGTGTGTGTGAATGGGTGAATGAATGTAGTGTAAAGCGCTTTGGTCAAGTCTCCTAACTTGAATAAAGGCGCTATATAAGTACATGCCATTTACCATTTATTTACATTACCTGCAGTCCTATGATCATAAACATAAACTTGGATTTTTTTCTTAATGCTACTTGGATATTAACATATTTTGAATCTCCTGTCCAGGAGAATTTGAGGGATTAAGAAGAAGAATTTCAAAGGGTTAGTCTTTCTTTTAAAGCCACTCTCACTCTGTCAGTAAAACATGCGATTTTCTCATTTTGATGGTTAGGACCGAATGTTTTTTCTTTGATCACCTGCAACACACCCAACTATTTTTGCACGTGCAATCGCATTTTTTTGCTATGCAAATTGAGCTCTCCTTATTCATATCCTCTAAATATCAGGGCCTAAGTGGTGTCCTCATAGCAGACGAGTACAAAAGTAAAAAGATAAGCTTTATCAGAGATACAAGTCAAGATGGTGAGTACTGTATTTACTTAATGCTGGTCAAATTATTTATAAGACAAATATGCAATACATGTCATTTTTACAGCACCTTTCAGAACATGGATCACAAAATATAGTAAAGAAAAATTTAATCTGACAACATTACAACTCAAATCAAAAGCAGCTGCATAAAATTGTACGTAATATGTTGCTCCACGATTGAACTCGTGGGATAAAATAAGGGTAGAGCTATTTATTCTGTATTAGCAATGCGTTTCGTTCTCTGTATCCACATGAAGACTTATCAGTTGGGGTTTGTTTCTTCTTGTTCAGCATTATCTCTGAGGTGAACTTTAGTTTACTCTCCTCAAGACATTGAGGTAAGCAAAGGAAAGCTAACCTATGAATGATTAGGGATTATTTATAAGACACACAATGCTGGAGAAAAAATCCATGAACCAACAAACAGCTGAATCGGTCCATTGATGCACTATGCCTGAATAACAAATAGCGGATGTGGTTAAAAGAGGACTGAAGTTGAGGGGAGTGAAATCCAGGGCACAAACTAAGCAGAGTTCAACTTCAGCA